ATTTTCCAAAAGTACATATTTTTCGAGGGAAGCTGTAGAAGCTCCAGTCCGCGACATCTGTGGTGTTAATCTAATCAGAATTTACGATATAACTGCCACGACCGTCGTCCCCTCTCAAAATTCGAGGTCGGTGATCTTGTCGGTATTCCCGACGAACCGAAGAAGAACCGCCGAGAGTTACCTTCGTCCTGAGAATAAAGTCGTCGCCGTAGTGGCGAAGCCGGACGACGATTAGGATATTCTGGTTGATTACGTTATTGTTGCTTGAGATTTATACCGGAGTTTGGTTGTTGTTATACGTCTGTTTATCTCTTGTTTTTATTTTCCGCTTGTCTCGGCATACACATATTATAGATGTTGTATAAGATATTATTTTTAATCTCGTGTAATTTTCGAAACGCGTGTCGTCACAAACACAATATATATATTTAATCTTCACAAAATTTTAATTCATGACCGAAGATATATATATATACACAAATAATGGAAGAAAGATTGCAACTTCTTTTCAATAAGTTTTGCAACGCGTCTTTATGAAACAGAAAAATTTGTTTATTTTTACTAATAAACAAGAGTCGTTAATAATTTATAATTAGCATCGGTTCTTACTGGTTATTTATTTATTTATTAGTTAAATATATCTGAGAGGACCTGACATATTTTAATTCATTATAAATTTTCCTATACGGAAGAAAATAAGTCTTAAATCAAGAATGGATATTCTCATATATAAGCAAGAATATCAAAATCTTCTCCCGAAACTTTCAATCTTGATTTAATCGAATTTATATTGACGCAAATATTACTTTAACTCAACTTCTAAGAATATAATTATAATATTCTTGCTTATATATAAAAATATCTATTCTTGATTTAAGACTAATTTTTTTCCCATGTATTAAATTAGACACTAAACGTGTTCCGAGGTGAAAACGAACCGAAAACATCATGACCTTTCCTCCGTCGATTGCGAAAATCCGCCGATCAAATTTCACCGTGGACTCGTCCTTGTTCTTCGCGCCCGTTAACATTACGTATTCTCGCGCCGTCAGCGACGACGATGTCGACGGTGTTGCCCCGACATACGAAACGTACTTTGGAAGAATTTCTTTTGCGACGTTATCGCGACGCTGCCGACAAGACGCTGCATCTGGTTATTCTATCGTCCTCGTGGAATCCTGAAATGTCCTCGAACGGAAGACGGATCGTTTGCAGGCGACAGAAATTCGAGTAGATTTTCGGCGACGCGACGACGGCCCGTCGAGCATTCCTATGAATCAGCTCAAGAATTTTTCACCACCATGGGTTTCTCTTACCTGCGGTCTACGGGTAGGCGTCGACGCGGCACGATTCTCGATACATCAGCTGGTGCGGGTACCTGTAGTATAACTTCTCTCTCTCTCTCTCTCTTTCTACCTGCCTGCCTGCCCCCTTCTCTTTCTCCTTCTTTCTCTCTCGTTCTCTTCTTCCTCCCATCGGCCGAGGGGAGGAACGACGACGTGCGTGAAGGTCGGACGGAGAGAAAGGTATGAGAGAAAGAAAGGAGAGGGCCGGTTTTTCTGGTTTTCCACCTCCGCAACCTCGCGATCTCTCCCCGTGGTCTTCTCTCGTTACCTCCGTACAATGAGACGCGTACGCTTCGTGCGAGACCATCCCGATAAAACGAATAACGCGCTGGTATATATACGTATACGCGCCGAGGAAAATTGTATTAGCATTTTGGTATGCAATAAAATACGTCACTCCCTTATTCGTTACGTTCGCCGCACATTGTATCGCCGCAGCGGTTCTCAATGCGCGACTCGCGCGCCATTGGCGTCTCTCGTCGAGACACGCACGTTGTTGCGCGCGTTGTAAAATCCTTCGGCGATTTGATCGTGAATCTACATGACGTACGTTTTACGGGACTATCGGATCTTCACGAGACGCGTGCATTGTGTGCGGCCTAATCATCCGCTCCATTCGCGTTTTGTTGCATCGTGCGACCTCTCTCTCTCTCTCTTTCTCAATGAGAAAGATTTAATTAAATAGCTGATGTTTCATCTCGGATACACTTCGGATTTAGAGTTTGTGTTCGATTATATTCATATCCTCGTGATGCTAAGTTTCCCGTCTAACCAGCAGTAAAATCGAGGACGAGCGTTGGCGGATAACAAAGCGAGGCTGCGATACATACACATGACGCAGAATGAGATTCGATGCTGCACTCTGTAAATTTCTTGGAGTGTGATCTTCAAATGTGAATGTAGTTCACTCGAAGTGGCGAAAATACCGCCACTCGAATTCGCAAGAGCGTGAATGTTTAACTCATATCGTAGAATGAATTATTCTCATTCGTACGAGTGAACGAGCTTCGGTCGGTTGAGGTGAATTCGTTTTACCGGCAGAATTGTCAGTGGCAATTTTTAACTACGTAGTTCGTCGTCCAACAATGTCGAAAAAATTAATAATTTTACATACGGTAGAGCAAGAGAAAACAAGTAACACTTGACCGACAGTGATGAAAATATAATTTTGATTCCCATTTTGAGCCGGGCTGCAAAAATATTGAGATTTATAAAATCCAAGTACTGTTCTAGAGTAATTAGGATTCAAGGAATTCACAAAACCTAAAATTCGAATTTTCCGACCAGCCATTTTTCCCGGAAAATAGTCGGAATATCCACTTTGAGTGACACCTGGCGTACACCTAGTGAATCATATCATAACGGGAATCGTCATTTTCGACGATTTGAACTTCGGGCAACAATACCTTATCATTGTTTCTTCAATTTTTTATTTGTTACTATTTTTAAATTTGCTGTTCCTATATAGGAACAGAAAATTAAAAAATTCCTATATAGAAATGAAATTGATTAAATACAGTTTTAAATATAAATTACAAAGAGAGAAAAGAATTTTCTTACTCGTTTTAATAACAAACAATATTTTATTTTGCACGTTAACAACTCTTGAGTAATCGTCGATTAACTTAGGCTAATTTTCAACAAGCTTCGATTAAACAAGTCGATGATTCACCGGCAGAATTACCGACAGCAATGTCTAATTAGTTATGTAATCTGTCGTCCAACAATAAATAAGAAAATAATTCTATATATATTGGCAAAATAAAAAGGTTAATACTTAATTGATAGTAATTTTAAATACAAGTTTATAAAAATAGAATGAGAGAATTTTCTCTTACTTGTTCTAATAATAATTTGTACTGCATTTTCTACGTTAACGACTTTTCCGGCTGAGTCAATCGTCAATCAATTGGTTTAATTAAAATTGATTTTAATTTAAATAAAATTTAATGGAAGTCAATCGAAATTACCTTCAATGAGATTTTGACCGGATTCATTCTTCAATTTCGAACGAAAACTTCGAGCGAATTCACTCGATGGTTTATTGTGGAGGAATTTACTGTGCACGAGTGAAAAGTCACTCGACTTCGAGCGACTCAGTTGTTATCCGGCTCTTCGAGTGGAATGTCACCCGAGGAAATTTAGAGAGTACAGCAAAATTTCGGCAAGGTTATGAGAAAATAGTCCTGGGTAAGTCCGATGATATAACTGAGGTTTTCGCGTTCGACGAGGCGCGCGGACGGATGCCCTCGAACATTGAATCACTAGGCACGGCGACTGCTCGTAAAATCACATAACAATTAGTTCCGTTGCGTTAACGAGGTATGTTTGTACGTACTGATCGTGACTCGGCAATTAGTGTAACTGAAATACCATTTTTAACCTACATGTAAGAATAAGGTCAAAAAAATTCAGGGTGTCTACTCAAATTCGAAAAAAGTCGACAGCTAGCAGAAATATAACAGGTTTTGCTGGCAATCTGTCGACGAAATTTATAACAGATATTGTGCAAAATCTGCCTCTAGATTTTACTGTCTGGCTGGCTTTATATTGGACAACATTCGTTCAACGTATCACCAATGAATGCCAAAATAACTAATATTAGACCAATATATGGTCAATGAATTGTATTTACACCGAATATTTACTTGCGTATATAAATGTCGAATATATATACAGGCATTAACCCCTTAACCTACGATTTAGATTCGAAAATTTCGGGCCTTGCATCTACCACAATTATTACATCCCTTACCAAATATTCTACAAATCCCGATCATCTACTACGGGCTATGCCCGTAATATTTACGTTTGGGCCGATCATCTATTACTTGCTATGCCCGTAATATTCACGTTTGGCCCGATCATCTACTACGGGCTATGCCGTGGAAGGAAATTGTAGGTTAAGGGGTTAAAACAATTAAAAATCTTATAAAATAAAATTGATCAAAAATGTCAATAGAACTGCAAATAAGATAAATCAAAAAATTATCGTTATTGAGACTGAAAGACACATGACGAGATAACGCTAGCTTTTTCCACAGCGATATGTAATTTTCGATATACATTAATGCATATATAAGAAATTTCTTATCGATTCATTGTAAGCGCATTTATTTTTTACTCGCTTTAAAGAATATCATGTAAATGATGCATAACTAACATATTATCAGTCTCGATAGAACTGCTATCGATGTGTTATTATGCAACGTTAAGACTTCTGGGTCACTGCAATTGCCCTTGTTTGATAATTATCGAAAACGATAATTCTTCGCACAAACACTTGCGAATTTAGGAATAATAATAAATATTCAGGAATAATATATATATAATATATTTATAAAGGTAAACGCCACATCGAGAATATCCTTATCATGAATCTCTTATCATGAATCAATAAGAAATTACATATGTATACATAAATTTGTATTACTTATCGAAGCAACGTTTATATACGTGTCGTTCAATTTAGGCTTCTTCGTTGGTCTCAAACGACAGCGGAACTATTAACAGAACGCTATGCTGTTGCAAAAAAAGAACTACACGATTAGATAGCTTGTGTACACATATTAACCAATAGCACCGCCTTCTTTTCGAATTGGCGTATGTGAGAAGCGTATGTGAGAGGCTGTGACGTTTTCACACGCGACTATAGAAAGTGCATGCAACGCATTCCCAACGCACACTCAAACCTCGAGAACAGTTGTTAACGAGCCTCGTAACGAGCGACACGACGCAACCATCTTTCGCAGACGGCGATACGCTTCTTAAGGGAGACTCGCAGAAGAAGACCGAAAGCCGAAAATGGGAACGATCTCTCGCGTAAGTATAAATAATAATTCTCCTCTCAAACTCTTGACATTTCTCCGAATGAAATCCCATTCAAAACGTGAGTTTGAAGATTCAGTCAAAGCGACGGTAAGAAATACCGCCGTCCGGAATCGCAAGAGTGAAATGGCTGATTCGAATCGCAAGATGGATTCTTAACGAGCGAACGTTTCATCGAATAGAAAGAACGAATTCGTTCCAGCGAGAGTAAAAATTCGCTCCGAGATTTAAAATGAAGATATTCACTCGATTTAGAATGGAGAATTCTCACTCAATTTCGATGAATGAGAAGTGTCACTCGAATTCAAGTGAGTGTTTCAGTTGATCAGAGTGAATTCATTTCAATCAGATTCGTTCGGTGATTTCGAGTGAAGAAATCAGCTGCGTTCAGTGGAAAAAACAATTTAATCAGCACTTTGCACTTTACCGCCGGTAGCAGCGCAGCGGAAATATTTGTTGCTCATCAGCTGCTTCTTCTGCTGAACACAATCATTCACTCGACGACGATTCAGCAGGGAGAATCTCTCGCTTACTCAATTCGTACGAATGAGTAGTCGCTTGAATTCGAGTGACTATTCAGCTGTCACTTTGTTTCTCGGGTGGAATCTCACTCGAGGAAGTTTCAAGGGGAGAGAATAATTCATTAATTATCGCACTTCTTGCTGTGCGATGTCAGAATGATAGAAAAATGCGATAACGCTGCTGGTTATTCGTTTGATGCAGGAGGAAAAAGAGCGACTGTATAGCCCGAGCGAGTGGAGCAAGCGGTATAAAGCTGAGGAGCTGGTAGAGCGATTCTGGAAATTCTGCAAGGAAGGTGACAAGTGTTTTCTTTTTCCGCGAGAACTTACGAAAAAGACCCCGCGTAAATTTTCTCGCGGGTTTTCGAAGCAATCGTCGCGACGAGTCTCACTTAAGAAAAAAGAAAGGAAATTTTCTCGCAGTCTGCGAGATATTGAGTTTCATAAGATTTGCACGATCGATTTGACGGAAGAATGCGCCCGGTGTGATTCAATCGCTGAATGTCATCGTCCCCCTTTGCTGTTACAGTTACGGAAAAGGCTAGGAAAACCACCAAGTGCGAACTTAATGTGCCATATGGCGCGACGGAACGTACGAAGTACGACGTTTACGGCACCGATTTGCCTAAAGGTATGCATGAGAATCTCAGTTAACGGGAGAATGATGTTAATTTTGCAAGAAGAAAAAGAATGAAAAAGAAAAAAAGGAGAAGACAGACAAGGAACGAGAAATGCACGCGCAAGATTCACTCAGGGCATCGGTCGTACAATTTACTCGCATCGTGGGGGAAAAATCGAATTGTTAACTCTTTGCACTCGAAGTTTTTTTTTCATTCATATTACCAGCAACTCGAAGCAATTTCAGTGGAAAGATCATATTCACATATAAGTAAATGATATGCGCATTAAAAGAAAAGTCATTGTTGTATGTTATTGTTTTTTAATTTTGTTAATTTGTTAATAGTTGTTAATAGTTTGTTTTAAGTTTGAAGACAAATTTTAAATGGCTCCGCTCCGGAGCCCTCGAGTGCAAAGGGTTAATAAACAAGACTCCGCATCCGCTCGCAAGATCGGAACGATCGCTTTCATTCGCGAGATCCAGGATCTGCGTGTGTTCGATTTACAACTTCTCTCTTTCGAGAATTATCCGTTTACAACTTGCAAATTTATGCACATCCAAAGGTCTTCATTCCGAAGACAATAGAATGCGCAAAAAGTGCGTACGCGATAAAAATTTGCATATGCACCGTTATGCAAAACTAGCAATAATTTAGACAAATTTATGTAAATTTATACACATTTAGACAAATTTATGTAAATTTATACTTTGTGCGGGAGAGATAAACTATTGTTACAGATAACGCTGATATATACATTCGATTGTTATCATTTATTTTTTCCAATGAGCTATTGAATCGCGTTTAGACCTCCCGACATTATTCTTGTTGATTTAAGGCGCGCTGCGTATTCTCCGTATTGAAACCTTATCGTGTATTTCAGACGCGCCGATACTCGTCTTCGTCCATGGTGGATACTGGCAGGAATTCAGCAAAGACCTCGCCGGATTCGTGGTGCCACTGTTCGTTAAAAACAGGATTAAAGTGATAACAGTTGGATACGACTTGTGTCCGGACGGTGAGGGGGCGAGAAAGCGTTATATGTTACCGCCACATTTCTCGAAGTACTCCGCGAGTACTCGACTAACTGCGAATTAAAGAAAATAGTAAATTAAAAAACAATCTTTCAGAGCGATGTAGTTTTTCCTCTTCTTTTGTTTCAGTCAAAATAGGGGATATCGTGGCGGAGATCAAGTCGGCGGTCGCGCAAATACTGAAATATGCAGCTGATTCCGGTTGCAAGTACGTAAGCTCGACAGAAGGCTATGCCGGTTGTACAATACGAAGCATTCATTATCCTTCCATACGCTCGCTAACGCGCTTGAATTTCAAGTCTTTCACCGTAGTTCACGTCACGTTTTTAGCAGTCATTAATATGTAATACACAGCACATTTGCGTTTATACATATTACGCGGACAAAATGCACCGAATAGGCAAGTCGAATACTTAATGTACAAAGATATGACGTGTGAGTAGCGAACGTGTTAAGGTACCAAGACAGTACGTCTAACGATACGAATCGCACACGTAGGTCCGTCTGTGTCAGCGGACACAGCGCCGGGGCGCACTTGGTAGCATGCCTTTTGCACGACGACGACTGGATCCAACGCATGACGCAACAAGGGTACTTCCCGCTGCTGAAGAGGCTCGTCCTGATATCCGGACTTTACGACATAAAACCTCTCGTCGGTGTCAGCCATGCGGCCGCCCTCGATCTTACCGAGTAAGCACTGGTCCTCCGTACTTTGAAAATGAGCTTTACTTTCCACTCAGCGATACTAGTCGACACAAGCATCGTCCTATCTTCGTTTCTCACTGGAACACGGAAGCGAGACACGATGATACTTGTTGCGTCGGCCTGTGTTACTAAACGGAAAACATCCAATTTGTCAATTAGATGCAGGCATACATATACACTTTCTTTTTCTCTCTTTGTTTTCACGCATCGTGCTTCAGCGAGGTGGTCGAGAAGTTAAGCATGTGCTGCTTCGATGAGCCGAAGGAGCGCCGCATTCGCGGCTTGAAAGTTATCGTGACCGTGGGGGATTGTGATTCACCGGCATTCATGGATCAATCGCGCCAATACGCTCAGGTAAGGACAGCCAGATATCGAACGTCGACATGTTATCGACGGTCCAAAAAAAAAGTAATAATAATAACGAAAATCGTCGCATATCGTTACTTCAGAAAATCATCTCACTAGTGGACAACGTGGAGTATCTCCTGCTTCCGGATATCGATCACTTCGATATCGTGGAGAATCTCCTGGATCCCAACTACGCTCTGGCCAAGTTGTTACTGAACTGTTCGCAGCCGGACGCTCGTTCGTCGAATGCGACGAAGTGAATACGAGGGAAACCGTTCGTCGCTCCTGCGTCGCGCCAACGTCTCTTTTAGACAATACGCATGTGCTTGTATTCTTCTTTTTGAAAAAAGTTTATTATAAGGATTGTGTTACATATATACATATATATATTTATTATACGTACGTACATACATACATATAGAAATATATATATATGTATATACACGCGTACATAGATCTTGAAGAGAAAAGTATCACTTAACATCATGATTAATCAGCTAGGTTTTGTGGCGGCGTAACAATGATCTAGAAAGATAACACGCGATGTCTCGTATGTATGTCATTTGGGTATTATCAACGGTAACGCGCGCACTTGCTGCTGCTTCGGGATCACCTTCCGGTCGGGCTGCTTCATGACAATCGTCTTGGGGAGGATCCTTATGATATCGTTGCGCTTCACGGTCTCGGGCCGCTTAGCGGGCCCCTCGCTCGTCGTCGTGGTGACGCTTGCGTTCTGCAGCTGACCCTGTCGAACAGTACTGGCAGTTTGTGTAGACGGTACTCGGATTAGCTTGGACGGCTGAACCTCGCGCACGGGCGCGATAATCTCGCCGGTTCGCATGTCTACCTTCAGGTAATTGTTCGTGATGTTCTGCACGCTGATGATGTTGCTGCCCGTCGGCAGTATCAATGTCTGATGCTTGCTTCTTAGAGGAACGATCTTGTTACCGAGCTGTATCGTGAATTTAGTAGCACCAGCTGACGCCGGCGCTGGCTCGCTGGACTCGTCCGTTAGATCGATAACGTCCTTATTTTGGCTGCTTGTCTTTGGTGTGTTTTCTTGACCGGAACCTGACTTGCTCGTTTTACCTTGTCGGCCATCGTCCCAGGTTGTGGGGGGTTTCGCGAATGAGCGCACCCGCAGTAAAGGCTGCCTCTGCGCATCGTCCGCAAGCTTGTCGCCTGACACCTCCGTATTCAACACCTCGGTTACTGTTTCCTCCGTCGCTTCCGTCACCTCTTCTTCTACGACTGCCGTTGTTACTTTTACCTTCGCGATGTCTCCCGTTATTATCTCCGGCGCGCTCTTCCTTAGCACCTTCGTACCGTCCTTGGATATCACCTCCGCCGCGGAATCTGTTATCACTTTAGACACATCCTCTATCATCATTTCGGCTACGTGCTCTACAACATACACGCAAAATAGAAGTATATACGATCTTAATTTGGGCCAGACTTCTACCATTGATCCTTCTATCTTTGGGAAAATTTAAGCGTTCACGAACCTTCAGTTTCACCAGTGGTATCGGCGCAATTTGTCGTGGAAGTCGGTAACGAGTCCTCCGGCGTTTTCGCAACCGTTCCGATAGCGTTCCGTGATACTACAATTGCTCTGCTCACCTTCTCTTCTATGATAACAGTCTTACTCTGACTTTTATTAGATACGTCACTCTCTCTTGCTGAAGTCTTCGTTTCTGCTCTCTTGATGCATCTTTCTTGCGGGACACTCGTCTCGATTTTACCCGGGGCAATTCTGGACGTATCTCGACTCACGTTCGCAGGACTCTTGCTTCTCTCTGCGGGCAACACGTCGTTCGGTATTATTTCGTCTATGTTTTCGTCACTAGTGTCAACTTCAGTACTTAAGGTATATATCGATTGAGTATCGTTGTCTTTGTATTCATCCTTATCATCGTCATCCTTATCGTAGTCATCCATATCACTCTCGTCTTCCGTAGTTGTTCCGCTATCGGCAGCTTGATCCTTGAGTTCTTCTTGTTTCTTCGTATACTGTTCGAATACCGCGGCTAGTCTTTTGTCACCCTCGATACGATTGTGAGCTAGTTTTTGCGCTAATACTTTATCTTTTATAGCTGGGTCTTCTTCCTGGTTCTCAAGATATAACGAAAAAGTGTCCCAATAATCATTTCGTCTTGCGCGTTGTAGGAGTTCTCCTATTTCGACAAAAGCCTTTTTCGCTGCAATACATACAAATGTAAAATATAATTTCATATGTAAATGACACGAGATTTGTGAAAAAAAAAAATATATATATATATATATATATGTACCTTACATCATAGCTTAATATAATAATCATCATCAAAATTGTTAAAATAAATTCGAAATTGTGATTACAAATGTCTTACCTAAGCTTTTCTGTTTCTTTTTATTTAAACTCAAGTTTCTCCTATCATTACACCTACTAACACATTCTAATATGTCCCTGTAATCGGGGAATATCAAATTGTTTGTAAATGATCCCAGTTTCTTCCCATTCTTCAGCTGATTTCGTTTAGAAATCTTCGAGTTAATAAAATTTGTTATTGCATGGTCCACAGCAACAATTTGAGTTGTACTTATATTTTTCGGGCGTAAATATGAACGTCCGGCATCAACATCGCATCCGGTTAATTCGCAATATTTGGAATACAATTCCACCATTTTCTGTTTATACCTTTCCATTTTTATATAATTGCTATCGGCTTCATCGTCAAAGTCAACTTCCGCCTCTTCAAATTTCTTTATTTTTATCTCACATTTCTTCATGGCCGTCCTTATAATTTGAATCTTCTTCCTTGTTTCACTTTTCATATACGTATCATCATCCTCATTATCCTCTGATTCCGCTGTATTATTGACTTTGTTCGCGGCGTAAGAAGTAGAGGGTATTGCATCATAGGCGATACTGTTATTAGTTGGCTTTCTTCTTGACTGTTCTTTAATCATCTTCCTCATCTCAATCAGAACTTCCTCTATGCACACATATAATAATCCCGAATTACTATTTACAATGGCCTCACGCTTGTCATTTAGAAATAAGGCAAAACTTTTTGATCCGGCATAAACCGCGTCTAGTTTCTCATAGTTCCTTTTCAATCTGTCAACTATCTTGACCATATCGCCTTCGTGACTTTTCGACAAGCACAGGCTTATAAATTGAGGAAAGATGTCGTGTGCGACGTATGATATCTTTTTTCGCTCTTTCACAACCAACTTTGGCATTTCAACTGTTACTTCTTGCTTCTTGTTTGATTGTAAGATACAATTAGGCTTAGCAAGGCTGTTGTCGTCTACTTCCGATGTCTTACTTAATTTCCTCCTCTTTTCTGCATTACTGCAAGACAGAGATCTTACCGCTTCACTTATCTGTGATATCTTCCTCTTGAAATGATTTTCCTCCACTTTCTCATCATTGCTGGGTGAAATGTCTGCCTTTGTTTGCAAACTATTCCCATTCTCTGCAGATTTAAGAAGGGATGATTTCTTTTTGTTTTCCTGCAACAGAATACATACATATGTGTGAATCAGTCAACTTTGTGAGTGAAACATCGATGTTCGTATCGATTCTAGGGCAGTCTCATTGCCAAAGAATTTAGTTCGGCCTTTCCTCCAAATTGAACACGATAAAATCGTAGTTGTACGAAAGTACTCGGTAAGTGGAACAATCAACGCGCCATTCGCTCACCTTTTGCGAGTCCGACTCATCGGAAGAGATACAGATGACTTCCATTTCCATTATCTCGCCCGTGTGTACGATAATCCGTTAAATGCTCTCATAAGCGTAACCTAAATGTTACACGCGCGAACAATCCTCTGTCAAACGAAAACACAGCAACGATCATTTACCGTTCTTTCTTACTGGCCGCGCCTCCGACCACATATTGGCGGTTCGCGACTCGCGCAGTAGTGTAGTAATTCGACACCTCGCTCGGAGGAAAGATATTTAACAATTCTACCACGAGCCAATACAGCTCGCAGCTACAAAAATGCAACACAAATGCGGGTACACACCTTCTCTTTTGTAGTAACTTAAAGGGGTTCCAGACGTCCAAATCTCTTTCTCGAGAAAGGAGGGGGACAGAGTTCCGCTACTCGTCTCGTACGCAGTTATATCGCGCTATCTTCGTGAATGATTCGTCGAGATATATCGGCGAGAAATTTGGTGAACCCGTACTTCAGCAACAGATTAGTGCGAGGCCAACGAGGTGATTATCGCAGATTAAACAATACGTAGCGCNTATATATATATATATATATATATATATATATATATATATATATATTGAAATGTTCCTAACTTGTGAGAAAGATTATTGGTCGATCGATAGGGAAATTCGATTCTACAAACCGCGGCCCATATGCAATTAGACTGTTAAGGCTGATATCGTGGAGGATTCATACTAGATCTATTCATGTTGCTTGCACTTTTGACACTTTTACACCTAACGCCCGTTGCTCATTGGCCTCTCTTTAAAAAGAAGAGCTGTCATTGGATATCGCTCATTAGGTGTGTAACGGGCATTAGACGCAAAAGTGTCAAAAATGCAAGCAACGCAAACCTTTTATGTTACTAACTAGGGACCCTAAAAAGTGCAATTTCCTATTGGATATCAGATCGTCGGACAACGGAGGCAAACAGATTACGATTGCATTGCAACTTAACCAATCAGAGCAAGATTCACTAAACTCAAGTTTAGTGAATCTTGCTTTAATTGGCCGAACTTTGCTGCGCGATGAAATTAAGACGCGTATTGCAAAACGTACCTAACGATCTGTGTTACATATATCGAAAACAGAGATTCACTCAAGAGAAATTTAAGTACAACACATTTTTGCGCATTTATTTCATAATTTTATCATTGTTCTTCGGAAGGTGCATATTTTTCCTTTAAATCCTTCTTGTATTTTTTCATCTCGCGAATAACATAACACGTGACAACTGTGGAAATATCTTTGTAGAAATTCAATTATCTCTGTTTTCATCAGATACGTATAAATTTTGTAACGCTTCTATGGGTGCTTCTTGGAGAGAGACGTCATCTTGCTCTTGATCCTGTCGCGTTGCTCTCGCCTCTGCACTTATCTCGGCTTGACACTCCTGCAAAGCTTCCCTCTTAAAGGCAGAAATTTCGTTCTCGATTATCACGCTAACGTCGGCCATGTGGAAGTTTCTGTTCCTCGACAGGGACATCACTTCCTCGTAGGGTGGTGCTAAAGGAAGCTGCACTGGCTCGCGATACTTGTACTCCTCTCCTTTGTGCTGAAAGCATTACCAAGCGACACAAGGATTGAAAAGAGGCGATAAAATATAAAGATAATAGAAATACGAAAGCCGAGGAAACTCACGTCCAGTGGATAACTCGTGTCGGAATCGACCTGATTGAAGTCCCCGCACACGACAAATGGGACTATAATCCTGTTGACTCCCGTGAGCTTGTGGAAGTCGCATGGCTCGTATGTCAGCAGAGGATTCATCATGTGCGGCTCATAACCCTCTGGCGGCGAGTATTTCTTGCACACCATAAAAGCCTCGATACTCGAATTGCGGGAACTGCTAGGTTTCGCGCAATACACGTAAGGGAAGAACAGCCTCAGTTGAGCGAATAAAAACGACATATCTTTGGCACGGAAGATTTTCGCAACAAATGCACCGCCAGGTTTCAGGATGTGTGTGGTTATATTCAAAGCAGCTAGCAGCAACTGCGATTGGATGAATATGTCCATATCGTGTAGACCAGTCACTGTGAGAGTTTACAATAAATTTGTTAATCACATATATATGAGGATAAATATATATTCTATTAAGGGTTCGGAGAAAAAGAATAGCACAGTTTTGTACCATCAGGTGCTCCATCGCATACGACCAGATCTGCTTGGGTGTTATTAAAGTGCGCTATGATCTGTTTTGCTGTATTGGTGTTGGTAATGTCGCCTTGTAGTTGAATAACTCCTTCCAAAGGTGCCATTGCTTGTAGATCAACTGCTATAATTTTGGGAGGAGATATATCTGATTCTCTTTCTAAGGCTTTCTTATAGTTCTCACTATAAAAAAGAAATATACAATATGTAACACAAAATAAGGGAGAATATTATGAACTTAATTTCTCACCATTGGACAAATTTATATTACAATGGAGCTTACTTCAACTTGCGAGCCAAGACCTGACTCCAGCTTCCAGGCGCAGCACATAGATCCACTGCTTTGGATACGCCTTTGGAGAAGCAGCATAAGAATTAAACAAAAAAAAATGACAAGGAAAGAGGAGCAAGTTTATTGATTGCTGTTGTACACACCTTCAAAGATTTGGCATTCCTCATCAATTTGGAGTAATTTAAAAGCACTTCGTGCTCGCCATCCTTCTTCCTTAGCTTTTCTGTAATATATGTCACGTTTGTCTTTTGACGTTTTCCCCATCTCTGTGATGACACTTTCCAGAAATCAAGTTTTTGTTGTGGAAATGTGGTTGCCACGGTATGGCTTTACTTTATCGACCTCTATATGTTGTCTTCTGAACGTAGAGTCTGGAAAGATCCTAGATGATTTTAACAATATAAGAATAAACAAAAATAAAATGACTGTATGTCAATGTGGCTTTTGTAAGTTCCAATTCAAGTGAGAATGATGATGAACATATACAATTTTTCTTGATGAGGAAAATATTGAAGGAAACTAAGAGTAAAGAATTTTACTTGAAATTGTGATTTACGCCTATATAGTAGTGAAGAATATTGTTTAAATTCTTTGATTTCTTAGTCGTAGATCACGTTTCAATAAAACTTTTGCTCCCGGTTTTCTTCGATATTTATTCATCTCGCCGAGAAAAAGTTCTATATCTTCATTACTCTCACTCGAAACGGAACTTAAAAAAGCCATATTGAACACTGTCATTTTATTTTTATTCTTTTTTGTACTGTTATTTGGATTACAAATACTGCCTGTCAGCTGCAAGCTGTCGATTTTTGCTGATTATGATGGCTTTGGAATATTCTCTCTCTCTCTCTCTCTCTTTCTTTTGGTTACGGGAAGCTCGGTGGCATTCCTCCCACACCATTTTCACGCTCCGGAACACCTTTCGGTTTAGTTTAGTGGCTGCCAACATCCAGAAACAAAAACAAGTCGAGCTGGCTCCGTTCGGAATACACCCTCGGAATACGCGGTTTAAAGCCCGTATCAGACTATGGATTGGGGATTGTGATCGAATTGAATTTGGCCAATCAGTGCAAAGTTAACTAAACTCAAGTTTAGTGAATTTGAGTGAATTCTACACTGATTGGTCCAATCTCAATTCAATCTCTATCTTCAACCCATAGTCTGATACGGGCTTTATAGGAGTTTGCACTCTATCTCCAATTCTCTTCATATGGTGTGTGACATATCGCGTTCGAGCCACTGTTGAAGTTCACGCTCTTTCCTTTCCTCGAGGTTCCTGAAGCGGTCCGAGCAATATGGGTATGTTATAACATCAAACTATTTTGCGTTTGTTGAAAAAGATTTCTGATAAAAATCACCATTTTTCGGGAAAGATTTTTCGGTATATTTCGTGCAAATCTATGAATATGTGCGTGAGAGTTGTCTCTTTTTTTCGCTGTAACGTTCGTTACGCGTGCCGCAAAGCTCGCATTTTCTCACCATAGCTATCTCGATTAATAACGATAATAAATCAAGAAAAGTACAGGTTCAAAATTCTTGATAGATGATCAATATGAATAGCTGTAATATATTAAATAGACAAGAGATAATTACGATTTACTATTTAAAGATGGACCACGTGTCGTTTGTGTACTTGTAGGTTATGATTACGATTCGAGACTATTGGTTATCAGAGCGAGAGGATAATCCGAAATATTTTACAAATCTATTCGATCGATTGTGTTATTTTACAGTCATCTTTTTATTCCAATGCATTTTGCAAGAATTTTGAGTGTATTCTCTCATTCCTATGTCATTCATCAAGATGGCTGCAATCGGGTACCTTGCCGTATCTCTAACCAACGCAAATACACTCATGCATAACCTAATTTTCTCTTTTTACATTGTAAGGTAAACCCAGAGGTCTTCGTACGGCGCGTAAACACGTCAATCACAGACGTGAACAACGATGGAATGATAAAGACTATAAGAAAGCACATTTAGGAACCAGATGGAAGGCTAATCCGTTTGGTGGTGCCTCTCACGCCAAAGGCATTGTCCTGGAAAAAGTGTATGCAATGATATGTTCATATTATAGTTCATAGAAATTGAATCTGATTTCACAGTCATATCGATTCACTAATGAATTTCCTTTTGTTCTCCAATGAATAAATTAATAAATTAGTAAATTAATTTAATATCTGAGATAAATTTAAGTTTTTTAATCAAGAGAAATTTATTTTTATTAAATACAACAGTATACCGTTTACCTTTTTGAATTTAAACTTTAATTGTGTTTTACATTTTACATTGACCTCTAAACATGTTCTGCAGTATATCATTTGTTACTCGAATGTCTCTGAGATGATGGTGTGTTGTGGTTCATTTAACTTGCTTTCTGACATGTGAATATTTACTTACGACTGTTGTGTTCTTGAAATTTTATTATGATTTATTGCGATACCACTGAAGAAGATCCAACTGATCAAAACATTTTGTAAATTTGAAATATTATATATTAAATTGTTCCAGCTAATATCTTTTTCACTGCATTTAATTTTTTATCATCACACTACATACCTGTACGTAGGTTCTTGTAGATCTTTTAATAGAAAAGAAACTTCTCTTGATTGTGAATCATTACAGCTGCTGAACTTTTTTAATTCCTTGTCTTAAATTTCGCAAATTGTACTACATACATTTCTGATCAATGTTCTTTTGTTTTGCTCATACAGAGGAGTGGAAGCTAAGCAACCGAATTCAGCAATCCGTAAGTGCGTGAGGGTACAGCTCATTAAGAATGGTAAGAAAATTACTGCATTTGTACCAAGGGACGGCTGCCTCAATAATATCGAAGAGAACGACGAAGTTTTGGTGGCAGGTTTCGGCCGTAAGGGTCATGCCGTCGGTGACATACCCGGAGTACGGTTTAAGGTCGTAAAAGTCGCAAATGTATCATTACTCGCACTTTATAAAGAGAAGAAGGAGAGACCCAGGTCTTAAATAAAAAAAATAATAAATCGTCGATTCCCGATATATTTATATTCCTGTATTATTATTCCTGTATGCATCAAATTTACTTACAACTATTAGTATAAAAACTAATTAGAAACATATATAATAATTTAATTCTTTTCTATTATCAAGGTGTGCATCATTTTGAGCAATTCCTAAGGAAACTTCCTGCGATGCTCATCATAAAAATTCGAAAACTTGCAATTATACTTTTTATATATTACAAATGTCTGAAATATCGTAGGTTACGAGTGACAATTATACCTACATATACACTGGATTGTACAAAATATAAATACAAAATTAATCGACATTGTCGGTCAGATTCTGGTTTTCAAGCTCCTCGTTATAAATAATTATGTCTTCGATTGTCGCGTTTAATGGTGTAATCGTCTTGGGTAATCTTTTTGTCAAATCCATGTTCGATATCTCATCTTTCGCCCGCAGTATCTGCAAATGCGATTATGTTATGAAATATATATGTATATACAGAAAACGACATAGCGAAATTATAAATAAAAATATACGAGATTCGTACCTTCTTTAAAGTGAAAAAATTGGAGCATATTTTCTTAATGTCTGAACTAATAGAGTCAACAACGGTTTGGTCCAAGTTCCTGGATTGAAACGGCCATGATGAAACAGTCTGAAACGCTTCTATGAATTTTTCTTCCTCTTTATTAAACAGTGCATCTTCTTCCTCTCTGCTAACCAATCTATCGTTAACCTAGAATAATATTTACATAAAATACACGTCAATTTATAGAATGTTTACATAGGGGTGTTTATGTAAATGCACATGCAAACAACTGACATAGCATCTTTCAAATATCATTAATATGATACTTTGTTGTACCTCCATATATGTGTCATTGGACATATTAGATTTTGTATCTGCACAGTTACTGTCGGACAATTCCTTCTCACTTTCTTCAAAATATTTACTCGCTTCGGCATAGTTCAGTTTTGACTTAAGGATTGACCGACAAGGTGTCTGGTCAACGCCATCCGTATACATCTGAAAGCATTATGGCTTTATGCATTTTATTAATATACTGACATTAGATAAAGTGCTGCATTTCCTCGATATTTTCATACTTTAACAATATCCATGATTGACTCTTCTTCTTCATTTGCGTTAACAGGAAATTCCATGTGTACTTTCCTCGTGAAATCCAATAATAATCTTAAAGTTGGGAGCTGCTCCTTCATCGAACATTTACCCTGTAAATGTAAAGTAAATGATGCAAAGTAAATTATTGTTAATATATGTTCTTAACCCTCCAGTCGCAATATTTTTCATCGAGGAATGGTCACAATGTATCTCGCAGATATATTACTTTCCATATTATTTTTCTTTGCTGCTTCTTGAAACAATGTTTCTTTTATTAATACTTTGTTAATAGACCAGGCACTAAAATATATAAACAACAGTGAAGAACAAAAAGAACAAATACTGATAAGGACGAAATCGACCTTGAAGCTGTAGCAACAGTGATATGTTGCAGTCTGAACATGTATCTATTGGATATTGTGACTGACAGAGGATTAATGCATGTGATTTCTTTAAATTAAATTAAAAATTGCTCAATTCTTGCAAACTATATATTTTAACGAAACATTATTTCGACATACCAACAATACATCCTTGTTATTGCAGATCCCAATTTGAGTATAGTATTCGAACAACTGATCTGAAAGGATATTTACTTGTCAGAAGAAGAAAGAAAGAATGTTTACTTGTCAGATTGCTTCAGCAAATGCTGTTACTTTCTCACACTTTACACATAAATCCATCGTGAATTAATAAATAAGAAATACAACTTTAAATACAGATATCGAATGAATGCAACAAATCACAATAATCGGGAGGAAGCAGAAATACCTTCCAGAGCAGCATCCTTTAATTTTCTCAGTCGATCGGCGATGAGTGACGACTTCTCCGTCAGAAGCCACGAGAGAAGGCACACGCGATTTTCGCCACTGAGTACCGTCGCTCCTACATCCTTCGATTCTACATTACTGATATGTGGATATCGTAATTGCGACAAAACGTCGTATATACTTGCCATAACATCGTGCACGTTACTCATAGTGGTAAGTTATATATCCGTACTGTAAAAAAAAACCTAAATATTCGATCTGCAGAAATTGTATATGGACTTTAATTGTCTCAATTTAGATATTCATGTTTCGCCATTCCGCAGAAACATTATCAAGTATAAAACGGTACTGTAATCTGTCAAAGAAATTGTTTTGAAGTTTCAAACAGAAGACACGAACGACAAAGTTCGAAGACAATACTCTCAATTGTCCGGATGAGATAAATCAGAAGGTCATATACGCAACGTAAGTGTCGGTCCACAATAGATATTTTAAGCCTTGAGAAATTGACCAATCACAGTCGATTATTCTCTTCACGTTCGACTGTAGCTGGTCAATTTCTTAAAGCTTAAAACACTTGTGTAGATCGGGACTTAACCTCTCCTTTCAAAAGTGTTTATACCGTATTGACCAAAGTGAATATTCGTTTATCATGCAAAAATTAATGCGAGTGTGCAAACGTTTCGTAAATACCGAAGAGAAATTTCGAGATAGATCGCAATGGATTAAACCAATTGGCCATGAAACCGAGGTGACTGTGTACAACCCGATAACGAGGTGCAAGGTACCTTTGATTTTGACAACAAGGAATACCTTGAAATGGTATATGTGCGGTCCTACGGTGTACGACTCGGCGCACATTGGACACGCAACGTAATAAAAAAATGCATTTAATATAATTTTAAAATGTTCAAGAAGACAACTCGAAAGAATATTTCGGATACTACTTGTAATAAATACATACGTTATCCTTCTTTTAACAGTCCGGATAACGAATCACGAATAACAATCTTATGCGTAATTGTTATTATTTCTTTTAGCACATACATAAAGTCAGATATCATCCGTCGAATACTGACGGATCACTTCAACATAGACGTGTTGTTAGTAATGGGCATAACAGACATCGATGACAAAATAATCAAACGTTCCATTGAGAACAAACAGAATTTCAAGACTTTGTCGAGGCATTTTGAGATGGAATTTTTGGAGGACATGAATAAGTTAAATGTTCGTAAGCCGTACATGTGCTGCAGAGTTACGGACTATGTGCCACAAATTATCCATTTTGTTGAGAAACTTATAGCGACTGGTTATGGTTATGTCGCAGAAAATGGTATGTTATTTATCAACGGATGTCTTGGTTCTTGGTAGCCATAGAAGAAAGATGGTTTTTAGTTAATTTTTATCCGTCATGTCTTACAGGATCTGTCTATTTTGATACAAACAAGTACAATAGATACGGTAAACTATCGATTCCCCTTCCTGACACTGGACACCCGTATAAAAAGTCTGCTTTGGACTTTGCTCTGTGGAAAGTGGCGAAAGATAATGAACCCTCCTGGAAGTGTCCATGGGGTCATGGTAGGCCAGGATGGCACGTGGAATGCAGTGTAATTGCAAGGTAATCTTGAAAATTAATTATCTTAGTACTTGAATACCTGCGTAACGCATTGCAGGGTTGTGATTACATTTTTGAAGGCGAATCTTCTTGAGAACAAAGAATAACCAAGTAAATGTGGATATTTAGATTTCTTGGAGGGCATGTATGATCCTTTGTGTATGAAAACACTGATCTATATAGAAGCTTGTGTTTTTATTAGCGCGGTCTTTGGGAATTCTATAGATATGCACAGTGGTGGGATAGACCTGATTTTGCCACATCATGAGAACGAAGAGGCACAATCTTGCTGTTACCACGGTGTCGAGCAGTGGGTGAATTATTGGCTCCACTGCGGCCACCTGCATCTGAAAGGCGATGTGAAGATGTCGAAGAGTCTGGGGAACACAGTAAGCATACGTGATTATCTCGAGAAGTATTCGGCGAATCATCTCAGAATGGTCTGTCTACTTTCCCACTATCGAAATGGTACATATATAAATCTCAGTCTTGATTTAAATCTCTTTGATCAGCGTGTAATCGACCGAATTTTATTGCAGGACTTGAATTCACGGAGAAAATTAATCAGAACGCGGTGATCGTAATGAAGAAGATTGAGAACTTTATAAGTGATTGCAGCACTTATGCCGCGGGCAAATTGCAAACTGGCGAGATTGACGAAAATCTCCTGCTCACTGTAAGTTAGTATATCATTCTTGACTCGAAATACTGTCGCATTTTTTGTGTGACGTTTCTGAAAAATGTTGAATAATTAATTTCCTACTTTTTCTGGAAAAAAAAATTATTCTGGAAGTCTCTGATTTTTTTTAACGAATATGAAATCGTGTGACAAATTCCGTTATATGTGAAGAAAATTTCGAAGTTTGTTGGAAATTTTCATTATTTTAGTACAGGCAAAGGAGAAAATTTGATTAATGCAGAAAAAAGTTCCTGACAAATTCGAAAAGATATTTTAATTTCTCTGAGAAAATCCATTTTTAGAAAAAGTCTAAAACTTAGAAAACAAATTTTCAAAATACACTCGCTCATTTTCTCATTTCACTGATAAACAGTCTGCGACAATAATTCGAACACTGTTTAGACTTGGCAAAATACGAGAGATAAAGTAGATTCAGCCCTGGCAGATGATTTTGACACCGCGCAGGCAATGCATGCAATTTTGGATCTTGTGAAAACAGGGAACAAAATGCTTCATCAGGGTGACGTGAGTTAATCGCATGAAAAATTTATGTTGTCAATAGTGAATATTATATTGAATATCAAGATATACAGATATATTATTAAATACAAAAATATTTAGCAATATTTGAACGCAATAGTACAACAGAGTGTCTGTACAACGTCGCATCTTTTCTGGTTTTATTTTTGAATCTTAGATACCGTCAACTGGTAAAATTAATGGTAACCATGTAAGCATCATTGCCGCAGTTTCGAATTACGTTTCAAGTACTCTTTCGAAATTTGGCTTATCACAATCCACATCAGCGAGCGACCGACGAGTTGAAGACGTCGTTGATCACTTTCTCAAATTCAGAACGGCCGTCAGAACTAGAGCACTCGAGAACCCGAAGAACAACGTTTTACTGAAAGAATGTGACAATGTGCGGGAGGAACTGTCCGCCTGTGGAATTCTAGTGAAGGTGCAAACTTTAGGCACACACATATCCGTCATAACCAATCCAACTTAAATATGTCGATAATCTCTTCTGTATGGTCATTTTATTACAGGATCTCAAAGACGGTTTCACGTGGAGATGGAAGTAGCATATAAAAACAATTGATTAACTCTACATTAAAAAAAAATATATATATATATATATATATATAAACGATTCTCTACTTATTGTAGATATGCAGCATCAAGAAGAGCAGTTGACAGTTTTACCGTATCGACTGTACTTATATAAAAATAAAAAGACTCTACACTACAAGATATGTCTTACGCAGGAAAATTAATTAAATAACATTTTTCTAGCAATTTATAAACTTTCAATACAAGTTAAAACAATCCCTTTTAGTTAGTTGGATCTGTAACAGTTTTGGGTTTCTTCGCGTCGTCTGTACTATTAGCGATTTTTCTCTTCCGACTACTCTTTGCCGACGATGTTTTCTTCAGGCCCTTCATCTTCCTCGTTTGGATGCTGTTGATATTTTGCGTCCCAACATGTATGCGGCCGTACGTAGTGCCAAGTGTATCTGTGCTAATGTTCTTCTTCTTCTTCACCTGCAATCATGATTGTAGTGTTAAACCAAATGTCTGTCTCCTGTACTTCTAACATTGACTTGTAGAAGCATTACTTTGAGTGCTTTAGGCTTCTTGCAGGCTTGCTTGAATAAATCCTCGGACGCGAACTTGTTACGTCTGCATACCAGGTCCGCGCGTGGTCCTATTTCCTCGAGTTCTATCCGAGGTATCCTTGTGTCAGATTTCTTCAGAGATATTCTAAAATTGATACATAAACTAACTACTGTTCAAGTTGACAAATCCGACATGTTCGATATATTTGAAATTAAATTTCTCCGAGACTCTTCGGCATTTTTAAGTGAAAATTTCGACACGATAAATCCAGTTTTATCCACTGCATTTTACCTGTAACTACGTAGAAGTATCTTGTTCTCGAGAGCCGTGAAACTTAAAACATGCTCCAAACCTTGCAGTCTGATTTTCTCAGCCACTTCACGTTGAAACATATCGACAATCAAATTCTTGATTCTGCCATACTCGTGGTTGCTCTCAAAGAGTTCACCATTGAAGACCAACAGCGGCTTTATTCCAGATGAGATCTTTTCGACCTTAAATTCTTTTAATCTCTTATAATTTTCGACTCCGAACTCCATCATATCTAACAATGTGTGTTCATACATTCGACCCATCACAAAATTGTGCGGACGTTTTTTGTTGTGCAATGCCATCATGAAAAGAGGTGCATTATATTTGGAGGCAAATTTTTCAATGGGTACGATATCCTCGAATGGTAATATGTCATTTTTCCTTTGCATCATCTGTATAGTGGGTTTCTTCAAATCGTACTGAGAGACAACAGTTCATATTCATTTATACTGACGACAAAAACTTTGGAATTTATAGCAAATGCTGAAATGACATGCATCAGTAACAATCATATGCGCTTACCAGATCCTTCACAAAGTCAGTGACTATCTGTGAGGTATGTTTACCTTTGAAGCACAAGGTTTCCTTCGCATTTTCCACCAATTTGGATTCCCTCCTCAATATAGCTTTTTTACCCTTATGCGTAGTTGGTTTCCTATTGCAACAAATTGTACAATGCACGTGCATATATTTCTAACGAAGACCAATATCACTTACATTTAGCTCTACGTGACACGATTGTCTATAAAATAAATGAATTTATATTTTAAATTACTTACACGACTCTTCTCACGACCCCCATAGCGACAGATTAGTCACGCTGAATTAATATCGTAAGTTCGTAATACTTGTTATAAAACTTGTCACCAGAAGAACCTCCTGTACTCCCGCAGCACTGAGTTAGATCTGTAATGTCTGGACTTATTTTGAAACATTAATAATATATTAGTATAGATCGGAGGCCGACTTATCTGATTTCAGATATCACTAGGTTAGGTATTCACCAGGTATAGATATTTTATCCCTATGTTACTAGATGTAAGTACGTGCGCATATGTATATTCGCGCATGTTAAATATTATAATTAAAATTATAACGCCGAAGAAACGACGTGTCGTTAGAGAGTCTTAAAATCGATGGATCAACTATAGACAAAAGAAACCGTAATCTCTCAATGCAATAAGGCATCCCGTCGCTAACATAAACAGGAGCATGAAACCTGAATCCAAACACCACTCAGGACCGACGTGATGACTCCATCAGCCAACCAGAAAACGACTCTTAGCGACAAAGCAACGTATAAAAACGCGCGCATTCGTTGAGAAGGCGATTCTTTTCTCGTAATTAGCTTTTGGTACTTGTGTACTTATATACTTTGGAATATATTAGTCGTAAAATCCGACTGTGTAGCAATTATTTTTGTCTACCCTTCATTTCTCGAATGTTGCGAAATCGAAATTGGAATCGCGGACCGCATCATCCCGCGCAGCGTCGGAACATCCGAGACCGAGCCAGGAGAACGAGCGGCTCTGATTTCTCACCAGATTCATCGATCGTTTCGCCAGACTCCGAAGACCCAGGGTAAACTCGGTGAAAAGCAGAGTGACCTAAAAGCGGAGTCATCACTCTGTTGACCGTCCACGTAAGTCACTGATTTTACTACTTTCAAATTTCCCTATATAGTTATCTATCGTGGACGTAACAGATCAATAATTGAATAAGCTGGACGCGCGTGCGCGACGATCTCTATTTTTTTTGAAACACCTATTCGCTCATTGAGGATGATATTACATTTAGGGAAAATGTTAGGGAATCCCAAGAAATTCTCTATCCGGCAGCCAATCGGCACACCCGACAAATTCGTACGACACATCCTCACAGAAAAGCAATAACCAATCAGAACTCGCGCTGGTAATCGATAGTTTCTGCTTTATCTACTGCTTACTACCAACATAAGTTCGCTGATTGGCTATTGCTCCTCTGCTTTTTGCTTTTTTATCGATGATACACAGCCAATGAAACGAACTTGCCATCCTTCTTGAAATCCAAATATTGATTGGCTACTGTTTCTTTTGTGAAGGTTTAAGGGATAGCCCGGGAAGAATCTAGGCCTGCGCCCACTGAGTACTCGGCACAGAGAATAAGAAAGACTCTTTTATTTCGTAGAGAAACACTAGAAGGATGCAGCTCTAACGGCGGGCTAATCTCCACTGTTCTTCTGCCGTACAGCGACAAAAGACTAGCCGTGCAGTGACAAAAGACTAGCTCGCCGGCGTGTGGTGGGGGGCGAGCTCGTATGCAAGCGAGATAGAGTATGGCCGCCACACTTTCAGTATCACTGTAGCTAAAAAGAACAAACTGATGAAAGCAAGCTAATGTTGTGCGTTAAACTTCTTGAAAAGAAGGTAGTCAAATATAGCAGTGCGTGGAACACAAGTATAAATGATTCGAATTGAATTGTTAAAAAATTTTACTTAAAGAATTGAAAAATCCTTCGTATTTTGTAAGAATGTGGCATCGACAGTATCTTTCTAGAGGGAGGTCCGCCGGTCAACGAGCTATTAGGGAAGGTAAAATATATTTCTTACCGCGAATATCTACTGCACCAATGTTGATGTCTTTTACTTGTTTACAAATTTCTAACGATTCTCAAGCATACACAATAAGTTGATCGGTGTAGATGGTTTCAACTGGATATTTTATACATCATGTACAAATATCATTTTATTAATTATATATTTTACCTTATATATAAAATTGTTGCAATGTTACATTTATTTCATAACTCAATTTTTTTCAATTTTAACTTTTATGTATTTATATATTTCTATATATTTTGCCTTGAATTGATTCAACTTTTTAATACCTGTCATTGTTCTTGTCTTTTTTAAGTCAGTATATATATAGTTAAACATATATGTATTATATATTTTATAGAAGAACGCACGCAATCATCTTATTCTGGACAAGAAAGGACTCCAATACGTGGCAAAAAACGTGGACATCCTCCTGGACTCAGAGGAAAAGAAATAGGACTGTATTATAGAGATAGAAATAGGGAGAAAGCAAAACATGCAAATGAAAATAGCCCAGTTCTCAAGTTATCCTCTTATTTGAGTGACAGAATTAAAACCATTTTAAATATTTCAAAACTTTCCTGTGAATCTCCCTCAGATGCCGATGAAAAGCCGGAGTCTCAAAACAATTATCGTCACATCTCTGATTCTCAATTCAAGAGGAAATTTTTAGAAATCGTAAATGGTAATATTCAGTCCAATATCGCCATGGCTTTGAATATGGAATCCAAATTGCAGAGGACTTGCTACTTAGATAAAGCATTACAAGCCGAATATGATGATAAGCAAGATCAAACTGAGTATAAAAACATGTTGAAATTTCGATCGAAGTTACCAGCTTACCAGAAAAGATCGGAAATATTACAGTTAATTCAAGATAATCAAGTTGTTGTTATTAGTGGAGAAACTGGTAAGTCGCGAAAGAAGTATTTGTTGATAGTGATAGGAGAGAAAATATTTCTGAAGTTTATTATATCGTACGATTGTAGACTACATGATCTTAATGAGTTTTACTTGACAATTGCTTGAATTTCTCGGCCTGATTGATAAATGCATTGAATGCAATGATTATTCTGTGAAAAATAATTTTAGGATGTGGTAAAACAACACAGGTTGCACAGTTTATACTGGACGATCAGTTAAAAGCTGGAAATGGTAGCGTTACTCGAATAGTTTGCACACAACCTAGGAGGATTTCTGCTATTTCTGTTGCTGAACGTGTCGCCGCGGAAAGAGCAGAGAGACTTGGGAAATCCGTCGGCTATCAGATACGACTTGAAAAGTATAGTATTAGAAAAAAATTTTCATATTGTGTATTATTTTTAAAATAATTAACACGATTTCCAACTCATCGGTTTCTCTCATAGAGTCGCAGCGCGAGAGCAAGGCAGCATATTATTTTGCACCACCGGTGTATTATTACAATTCATGAAAACCGATCCAGCGTTGAGAAATTTTTCTCACGTGATATTGGACGAGATTCATGAACGTTCCACGGAAAGTGATTTCGTCATCACATTATTGAAACAAGTTATCCCGAAAGTAAGTCTCTCAGTGTCCTTGCGTCATTAATGTGCAACTTAAACTTTCCCCCGGAAGTCTTAGAAATGAGAGAAATTTGTTTCTTCAGAGATCAGACTTGAAACTTCTCCTGATGAGCGCGACATTGAATTCTGAAAGATTTTCAACATATTATAATAGATGTCCAATGATACACATACCAGGATTCACTTATCCAGTAGAAGAATTTTATTTAGAAGATATTTTATCGTTCATTGAGTAGGTATTGATACAGTATTATCGAAATTGATACGTTTAACAATTATTTCTGGTAATTTCTTATATAATAAATTTTCTAATATATTTCGAAACATACACACGTGTATGTGTGCATACATACATATATGTGTATGTTTATATATTTAAATCATATCTAATACATTTTTTTTCTATAGCTTTAAATTTAAAGAGCCAAAACCAGAACCTGTAGGTTATAAGAGACATTTGAAAAGATATAAAGAATTGCAAAATAAAAAGGATGAATTTATGGATATGATACAGCCTTACACCAGGCAACTTATAACTGAGGTAAATATGAAGTAAAACAAAGATATTCGTATATGTACGAGTGATTATATTTTCAAGAGAGATTACACTAGTTTCTACGATAACATTGGTTGTGTTAATTTCTGTATTAATGTATTTTATAATCACATAGAAAAAATACTCAAGACAAGTTATTGATCAAATACGGAATTCGAGTAGTGAGGAACTTTCGTTGGAACTTATAGAAAGATTAGTTCGACACATCTGTTATACAAAAGGTCCGGGAGCTATTCTTATTTTTCTACCTGGTATGATGGATATAATAACGTTAAATAGAATGATGGTAGGATCCAGGCACTATCCCGATCGTGAGTTCTTCATATCGTGATTAGCAAATTACACACAGTACACAATAGTAGCAATAGATGAATTTTCTATTCTCGACAGGCAACTACATCATCTATCCGCTTCACTCGCGCATGCCAACGGTCGATCAGAAACTTATATTTCAAGAACCGCCTAATGGCATTCGTAAAATAATTATTGCCACGTCGATCGCCGAGACGTCGATAACCATAGAGGACGTGGTGTACGTGATCGATTGCGGGAAAATGAAACTCGGCAGATTCGACGTGGATAAAAATATTCAGACCTTAGAACCCGAGTGGGTGTCTTTAGCTAATGCCAAACAAAGGCGCGGCAGGGCGGGCAGGTATGCTATTATACCTCGCATTTTCTGTCACGGTTTCGAACCGATTCCCGCGAGAATGATGCCTTTCATCGAATTTTCCCATTTCGACTTGATTGACACCACGTTCGCACGCTTTGCAGGGTTAAGAGCGGGGAGTGTTATCATATGTATACGAGAGCGCGGGAAATGTTGCTCGATCATTATCCACTGCCGGAAATGTTGAGAACTCGTTTGGAAGAGGTAATCTTGCAAATAAAAATCCTGCAGTTAGGAAAAGCCAAAGAGTTCCTAGCTGACGTTATGGATCCGCCGGATCTGAAAGCTATTGATCTGTCTCTCGAATTGCTCAGGACGCTCAATGCCCTCGACCAATACGAGCATTTGACACCTTTGGGTTATCACTTAGCGCATCTGCCGCTTGATCCTCGAACAGGTAATTCCACTTCATCTCCTCGCAAGGTCGCAAGTTCGCGATTAACGATTCGATCGATTGCCTGTCTGATTTAGGAAAGATGATTCTCTGGGCGGCGCTGTTTTCCTGCGCCGAGCCGATATTCGCCATCGCGGCCAGTCTCACGTTTAAAGACGCTTTCTACTGTCCAATGGGAAAAGAGGAGGAAGCCAATATGAAGAAATTGGAGCTTAGCATGGAGCAATATAGCGACCACATGGCGCTCGCCGAAGCTCTACGGAGATTCGAGCTGGCGTACCAGCGAGGAGACGCCGGTCGATTTTGCCGGGAGTACTTTCTCTCTTACAATACTTTGAAGCTCCTCTCCGAGATGAAAACCGACTTCGCCCGATACTTGTACGAGATGAAGTTTCTGGACAGTAAAAATCCGAACGATATGAACGCTAACAGAAATTCGAATAACATGGCCTTGATAAAGGCCATCGTCTGCGCCGGATTGTATCCTAATATCGCCGTCGTCAGGTATGGTGAACCGCTGGAAGCACGATTTGAATTCACTTTACTCCATCACGGGAAAAATATCATTTAGGGGGACAGCAAGTTTTATGTCGTCGTAACTAATAAATAAACACACAGGGTGTTTTTATATGAAGTTTTCTTCATAAAAGTCACCTCATCAACTCTTAAAATACAATACACTCAAACACCATAATCAACTCTTAAAATACCAGACAATATTTACGAGACACTATATATTTATTTTTTTTATTACAATAGCATAAAACATTTGCTGTTCCTCAAAAGTACTTTTCGCCGCGATACCGATCACAAGCGCGTCCATCGAGATTGTTTTCCGACTCGGAAGATATTAGCTCGGGCTTGGATACGCCAGTGGTCGGTGTGTCTCTACCAGACCGAATTGTACTTTTTTTTATTTATTTATTTAGACGAGCTACGAAACAGGGAGTTATCGGCTGGACGCCGGAGGACGGCACTGTACGTACGCATCCGTCGAGCGTAAACAACAGGAACGCCAATTTTCCCAGCCGTTATTTCACGTATTTCACGAAGCAACGCTCCACCGCCATATTCTTGCACGACACCACGTGCGTGAGCATACCGATTTTGTTGTTCGCCAGGCCGAATATGTTGATAAGTACGTCTCATTGATAAAAGTTAATTCTGCCCCGCGCATCGCGCACGCTTAACGACATCCTGTTTTATATTTCAGAACGAGAAAAGGGGAAGTGCATGATAAGTTTCATCTTTTCCGATAATATTGCTTGCGAACCAGATACGGCGGAAGTGATACAGGTATGAGGACCGACACACTCATTGTCGACACATTCCTATGAGGAAGCAAATTGTGTTTCCAAGTGATAGATCTTTAGAGATCTAATACGTGCGATATCTGATATATATGACAATAACGTATTTCTGATGTCTGAAACGCGTAGGATCTTCACGAAGCTCTGAATACTTTACTGGAGTACAAGGTGATGCATCCGGCAACGGTGTCCTGGTCGTCGGCCGAAGGACAATTGCTCAAGTGAGTGCGCGTATCTCTTACACGATTTAAAAACGTGCCGTCTACTTTTGCGCGAGCACGCGATAAATTCACACTGTATCTGTCGTTACAGAGCGATCATTGAGCTGGTGTCCCAAAAGGACGAAGAGATAGGCTTTGGCGATGATACGGCTAGCAAAAGCTTTGATAATTACGATGAGCCCGATACCCATTGACAATAGCTCTGGTTAATGTTATGTTGTGATCGAAAACTGTCGATTAATTTATTTCTTATATCTTATGAATTATGACTTCATTTTTCTTTTTGCATTCATTGTATTATATCAATTGTCGTTTAGGGAGTTGCGCGATTTTCTCGTGATTTTCTGCCCGGAGGTGTATAAAATAATGCACGAATCGTTAAAAAATTCACATCAGCCTAACAACACCTCTCCCCACCGGTGTTAAATCTTCGCGGCATACGCTTGTTCGTTATTATCGAGTAAACGTACTGTTTAACATATAATGAAAAAAAGTAACTCCAATATAAATGCCGGGCGTAAATACACGCAATGTCACAAGATAATGACGTGTTAACGTTAAAATACTTATTTATGTGTACATGTGTCGCAATCCACTGTAGAACACTATTGCCTCGTGATACATTTAGAGTAACCGTTGAACTGAGTACAAATAAAATACAGTTCTCTTTCTATACATACATAGATTCATGATTTATGCAAAAATTGCGGTATGTCGGATCATGAAATCGAACAGTTAACATTTAACAATTATGATAAGCAGCTACGTGATCATTGTTTATCTCAAGTAGTCGAAAATATTATTAATTGTCCAATAAGCAAGAAATCATCATAACACAACGTTATTACAATAATATTTTATGACATGTAACGTTTTCAAACATATAGTTCTTAATGTTGTATACAACGTCATTGTTAACAATATTTGACCCAGACATTAAAAATAGTATTTCTACGGTATAATTTTAATATTTAAGAATATTATATTATCAAGTAACAGTTTAAAAAACATTTTATAAGATATGTCGAAATGCCTGTAAAATCCGCACGTCATTGTTTGAAAAGATTGATTTGGTGTTTCTTGCTTACTGGCTGCACATTTTTCTAAAGTAATCTAAAATTTTAATAACAAACAGCAGCAGCTTCTGCTGCTATCGCTACTGCCGCTGATCTTCCATTGTTTGTTTATTTGGATACGTAAAGCGACTTAGATTTAGACTGGATTCAACGAGGATCGTTTAGTAGGGGAGAAGCTGACAACAATGTAAAACGACGTACATACGATTCTCCATTGCGCCGTTGTGCAACGGGACGCGAACTTTTGACCCTCCCATACTTCACGCGATCGTCAATAAAATACTATATCCAGTCTCTCTCTCTCTCACTCTCACTCTGCTTTGTGCCCGCTTTGTCATTCATGAACGTGAAACGCCGCGTACCGCCGTTTCTCGCTGGTGCTCAGCGAAAGAACTAGCAATGCGTATACATCACACACACACACACGTTTACTTTCCGCTCTATCGCACGCGCGATAATCTCCACCGGTAATTAGTATCTCAGGCACAATGTGCGCTTTTAATGGTCGCAGCGTTGATATAGCTGCATTGTATTTCTCTTCTGCTTGATCCTCCTCGATTTACAACTCGGATATTTTCAATCGCCGCTCGCGATAATCCAAGGAAATTTCGGTGAGGAAATATCCACATGTTTTCAATTTCTAACGAGTTTCCTTTTGACAGTGCCTGGTGTATAAGACGTCAATATACAAAGTGTTAGAAGATAGATCGACAAACTTTGAAGGTAAATAGAGGACTTCTGAATAAACATTTTTTTGCTAATATTACTTTTCCCCACGACGTTTTAATATTGGGAAAAATAAAACGTTTTAATATTGGGAAAACTTAATTACATTTTAATCTTGAACAAGAAAACGGAATAAATATGTAAAATTTATTGCTAACATAGTAACGATACATAGTTACGAGAAATTCCTATTTTATATCAGTATTAAAGCAAAGTGTCGTAGAGAAAATTAATATTGACAAAAAAAACGTTTATTTCGAAGTTCTCTGTATCCCTTCCAAATCGTCGGTCTAATTTTTCAACGTCCTGTAAATTTCTCAAACCGTCCTTTTTTTTTTCTAAAAACAAAACAAGCGTTTCTAGCGCTTTGGATTTTGGCGCCCTTTACACCTCCTCTAAGAACCCGATTAAAAAACACCGCACACACACAAGAAACGCTTCTAGCACGCGTGTCTCGAAACCGTGCGTTTTCTCTCTCGCGTGTGCGATGCGCGCCACTTCTGCGGATATTTTTTCCCTCCTTTCGGCGCTCGGCCGTAAGATTTTTCCTGCAAATTCCGCGATATCGAGAGAAAGAGAGAGAGAGATCGTGTTCGGTCAGTAAAAACGAGCCTGAGGTCTGGCACGAGCTGATAGCCGCGCGACGCGCGAGAGTGGTAAAAGAGAAGTGAGAGAAAGAGCGGCGGCGCGGGAGGGAGTAGGGTCGACGGAGGGAGGAGACTCGCGGATACGTTCAGGCCGATACATGAGTACGGCGCGTAGCGACCGATTCAGTCTACATCCGACCGCCGCGCCGCGAACGTTGTCGTGTGGTCGAGCGCGAGCACGGGATCGAAAAAAAGAAACGAAAACGTAAAGGAACGATATATATATCGGTGAACACGGCCCGGTGTGTACATGTATACATGTATGTATACATAATACATATATTTACGTACGATTTCTGCGCGACCGGTCGGCGACGTGAATCGCGATCTTATCGGACTCGTTAACGGGGGCGCCTCGAGAGAAGCGAGGATGTGAGAGATACGGAGAGCGGAGAAGTTACCAGAGTCAGGGTGTCCGGGAGAAGAGTGGCTACGCCGACGACGGATCGGGAGATGCGCGAGAGGTCGATCTTCGTGGCCGAGAAGCCGAAGAGGGACACCGGTGATATCAGAGAGCTCGCCGGCTATGAGCACCGTCACGAGAATCGGAACTAGAAGGTAAAAATCTTAGCGAACGATCGAACGACGTGAACTTGACGCGGTCGGTTCGCGTCGAGAGAGAATATCGTGGCGTGTAACGTCGGAAGTAACGCGAGCTAATTTGCGAGAAAATGGGAAAGCAGAGGGGCGGTATCGAGCGACGGAACCGTGAGAATAATTAATAGAGAGTAATCTGTGCAAGAAGGAAGGAAGGAAGGAAAAGCGGCGGCGATAAACTCAGCGAATTCGCAAGTGGAACGCGCGACGTCGGTTTGCGCGTCGGTTGGGTGGCCGTTTTTTCACATTAATTTTCACATTAACCTCACTCAGAGGGGGAGGGAGGGGGGGTAGATAAATAATACGACGAAGCTGGAGCAGTCTCGTGAAGCGTGATCCCGCGGGCAGGTACTAATGTGCCATTAGGCGACGGGCGGAACGCGGGCATGTTTATGAAAGAGGAGAGGAGGGGAAGGCAGCCGAGAGCGAAGGAAGCCTAGGCCGCGGACGACTTCACGCGGCGACAACTTCACGCTCTTGCGACAGGTGCAGGTTATTACAGCGCCGATGTCGCTGCCTCTTGTACCGCGCGCGCGGCGATAATAACGTACGCGCGATTGTCATTATCGTCGTCTTGTTGTCGTCCGGAAACGTCTCTCCCCGTGTGTCGTCGCCGCGTACCAAAAGACAGTTTCGCACACCCATGTGAATTCCCCTACCGTTGGCGACCGTTCCGAAAACAGTACCGCGAGTACACGGGAGGGAGGAGGAGGAGCAGAGAAGGTGATGCACGAGGAAGAAGAGGGATTACATTCGTAATCGACAAGACAGAGACGCACCACCGCTTCGTTTCTCGTTCGTTCGAAACGGAAGCGTATCCCGCCGTTCTCGAGAACGGAGCGGGAGCGCAGAGAGAGAGAGAGAGAGCATCTCTCGACGGCGCGACGAGAAACCGAGTGCACACGCCTCCCGAGCCTGGCCGCTCTCGTTTCTGCCGACGGGAAAAATTGCATCGGAAAATCGAATCGGTGCGTGGCTGTGTGCGCGCGCGCGCGCATACGTGCGCTGCGCCGCGAGAACTCGTGTCGGTGAGAGCGGGTCAGTGAACGATTGCGCGCCGCCGTCGTCGTTGTGAGAGCAACGAGGAGGGAGAACGTAGTTCTCTCCTCTCTCTCTCTCTCCCTCCCTCCCTCTTTCTCGGCTGCAACGTACGTATATGCACGTGCGAAAGCGAGGAGAAACGTGAAACGCGCGCGTGCGCCGGTCGGTGTATACTCGGCGCCTCACATACATACATACATACGTATACATAGGTACAACACACACACGCGTGCGCGCGTCGAGGGACGTCGCGTATGCGCGCTCGCGCGCATACAGAGCCTTGCAGGTGCGCGAGTATGCGCAGACACACGCGCGCGCGATAGAGACGACAGCGCGCAGAAAAGAGAGAGAAAGAGAACAGGGGGAGGAGAAAAGGGGAGTTGGAGGAAAAGAAGGAGCGGAAGGTGGAGGAAGAAGAAGAAGAAGAAGCCAGTGACACCGGGAGAGGGTCGGCTGTGTTCCTGGTGTATAAAGCGGCCACCGGGATACACCTTATATATCCGTGTGAGCGTGTGTGAGCAGCGCGAAGGATCCGCGTGCGCCGGGAGATCCGCGGATATATAAGCGATACGGTTCGCGACGCGAGGTTCTCTTTCTCTCTCTTTTTTCGTCTCCTTTCCCTCTCGCGCGCGCGCGCGCGCGCGCACGCCTCTCTCGAGCAGGAGAAAGAGAGGAAAAAAAGGGGAAAACAAAAGTTGAGGCCGAAAAGAAATGCGGGTTCGTTGACTGCGCGACGGCCGCATGCTCGTGCCCGGTGGTGGTGCATAGTAGAGTGCGCGTGACAGGAGCAACGACGAGGTGGAGGACGACGACGGTCAGGAAGATACCGAGTGCGACGACGACGAGAATGACGACGGAGGTGCCGCCGCTACCGGCTGCTGCGCGTTGGCCGCCGCTCGACGAAAGCGAAGCCGGGAGGCAGTGAGTCGAGTCACGTTCCGCTCGGGATACAGCGGGTCGTCCCGCCGTATATCGCGCTACTGGCATCGACGACTGCCATGACACCGGGGGCCAACGGCCGCCGGTAAATCCGTCGACGCGAGTACACCAGGTACGTATTCATCGGCGATCCGTTAGATCCGTGGTGATTAACGCTCCCCGTTGCCGGAGGAGCGCGTAGCAGTTCTCGTCGTCGTCACGAAAACGGGTCGGATCGTTTTCTCACCGTCGTGAGAAACCGTCGACGGTAGCGGACTGGGTCGGGCGCTCGGTGATCGATAAAAATTCAATTCACCGGTTATCTCCTTTCCCTCCCCCGCCTCCGTAGGAGTTATTACGCCGATATACCAAAATTGTGCACGAGCGTGAGAAAAACGCGGCGAGTCGTCGAGTATCCGAAAGAAAGCCGATTCGATACTGTCGTGTAGAGAATGAGAGAGAGAGAGAGAGAGAGAGAGAGAAATTCGCCGCTGCTTTACGCGAAATATCTGCGAATTTACTTACGGCTAGGGAAACGTCAGTTTCATCTTCGAGATATTTCTGTCGTAGCTGCGCCGTGCATCGAAGAGAGCGAGGGGTCTCGTAATGAAAATTTATCGTGTACGCGTGACGGACGAGTTGCAACTCGGTGAAATAAACGTCGCCTGGGTC